CCAAAACCATTCAACAGAATATGAAAATATGAAACACATTAACTGGGACATAGGTGATCGCAAATTGCATTCTCTGATAGTTATTGCTCTTCCAATAGAGAGTAACTCAAAGCTAACATCAAAAGCGAAGGAATTTTTCTTTTTTAGGGAACGGTGTTTCTTATGGGAGCTTTTGGAAATCTCAGAGACCCGATAAAATTTACCACATCAATAGTCACGTCAAATGGTGTTATTTGTTTTTTCAGTTCTACAATTACAATTAGTTTTACAATTACCGGAAGACAGCAATCATTGCCCTATAATTCAATGCGAGACCTCTCTCTTTACTGAGCCAGGAAAACAAATTATTTAAAGCAGGGTAATTGCAGAAGTCAAAATTCGAAATGAAGAACAAGAGGAAAAGCTGACGGACTGGTTCTATTTATCGAAAACGAAACGCTTAAAGCTATGGGAAGGTAAACAAATCTCGTTTTACAACACTTACTTAATGAATTCCAAGAAAGCAAATCCTCTGGTCACCAGGAAAAGCGGTGCAACATAGGGAATCAACTAACAACATAGGTCGGTGCAACATAAGGATTCAACTAGCAAAATTCATTCTCCAAAAAAGCCAAGTCCCAATGATTGTACTTCATTGAAAAAAGATGTGCAACAAGAAAAACGAGGACGAAATTAAAATTTTTTAAATATTTAGGGCAGAACTGACAAAAAAGCAAAAATCGGAAGACTAACTTCTGCTATTTCGGTGAGGGAAAATGTGTTAAACAGTGCAGCGACTCAAAACCAATTAATAGGACGATATTTGCAACAATCAGATAGTCGGTTTTTCAAAGAAAACAATTTAAATGTCGAAACTAACGAAGCTGAATATTCTTCCGACGGTAGAATGCTTACAAAAAAGAGCGCAAGATTTCACCACTTCTTAGTGAAGTTAAACACAAAAGAAAGGGCCTACCATTTTGGTACAAAAATTCCAGAGAAAATTTGGTTAGGAAAACTTTTAACCATTCATCTGACATATTTTCAGTTAGTATTTCATCATAAGAACTCTTTAAAATTAATCAAAACTTATCAAATTGCACTCACTTGTCCGATTTCATTCTGTGCACTGAAAAAAAAACAAATTTATCAGTTCTCACAAATATACACCCGAGTTTACTGGATAAGGACAACACTAAAAGTATGCCAATTGCCGCACGTATCAAAGGATTTACGCAATTCAAAGCAAAAAACAATTTTCTGATTGGATTGGTCTGGTTAATTTTGCACTGAAAAATTTGTTTAATTATGATTCACATAATGGCAAGTAACAAAAAATTTGGAGCGCTCAGATTATGTTGTTTTTGTGTATTTTGAAAGTGAGAATGACTATGAGAGGTTAGGCAATCGATATACTGAAGGTTTTTCCAAAACCACTCAACAGAATATGAAAATATGAAACACAATAACTGTGACATAGGTGATCGCAAATTGCATTCTCTGATAGTTATTGCTCTTCCAATAGAGAGTAACTCAAAGCTAACATCAAAAGCGAAGGAATTTTTCTTTTTTAGGGAACGGTGTTTCTTATGGGAGCTTTTGGAAATCTCAGAGACCCGATAAAACTTACCGGACAATAGTCACATCAAATGGTGTAATTTGTTTTTTTTTCAGTTCTACAATTACAATTAGTTTTACAATTACCGGAATACAGCAATCCTTGCCCTATAATTCAATGATCCAAACTGCTTCCACTTGCGAAACTATAAATCAAGTTTTCATGATTTTTAAACTTTCGTAAAGCACACAAATTTCAATCTCTTATACATTTGCCCTTATACATTGTTTTTCAGCCACGAAACTTCAGTCAATGCAATCCAATTTACTGGAAAAAATTGACAAGGTCGTAACCAACAATGCCGGTTTAATTCGTACAGATCCTCAAATCTATCTTGAAAAGGAAATGCCAAAAGTAGGAAGCAGTTCAGCAAAAATATCAAGACTCTCTGAAGTTCATACAGGAGAACAAAAAACGGAAAAGTTTATTCAATAACACTGAGATAAAAACCGCTTTTCTTAATCAAACTTATCACAGTATTGAAGCAGAGGTTGGACCACTTGCAATGCAATACTAACAACACTTGAAAAAAAGAGCATAAAATGTAAACAAAACTGCTGTCGAAAAAAACTAAACACACAGGCACTCACTAATTGCAATACAACACAATCATAAATAAAAAAAGAAATAACAAAAGAAAACAAAAAAAATGTAGAAAAAAACTAGGTCTACTGAAATTTTCGTATAAATCGATAAAATTTCAATCTAGGCAAACATGGCAACCAAAGCATTTGAAATTTAAATTAGCAACGGAATAAAACTGACGAAGCGGAAACAAAGCCAACAATTTTTGAGCAGACACAATTTGAGCTAAGAAAAATTTAGTTTTGTTAAAAAAAGTTTCGAGTACTCTAAAAAACAATGAACAGCACTTGCATAGCCAACTGACAATTGAAAAACAGAAATGAACGCAAATAAACTGACATGTTTTTTGAAAAAACCTCAATCTTCGGTTTAAAGAAAAAAATTATATGGTGCTAAGCCCCTTTGAGTTTCTAGAAAAATTTATATTGGACAATTTTTTCATGAAATTAACCCAGTTTGGGAAAACCTGGTCAATACACAAAGATATTATTTCGAAAATAGAGTCGATCACGTTTTCTGTAATCTTTCCACTTATGCTGTTTGATAATGGAGTTTACTTTCCTTTTAACAATGAAAATGCACTGAATTTGGAAAAACGCATAACTCAAACCGTGAAAATCAAAATTAAACTTCAACAAAGGTTAAGATTTTTTCCTGAAAAAAGTAACAAAACTAAAAATTACCAAAACCTATATAAGAGACTTCATTTTAATCATTACTCTTAAAAACTGCTTACAGCACAAGAAACATCAGGGATGCGGCAACTAAGCTGACAAAACTTGAGCAACAAACAAAAGTCCAATTCAACTTTTTACAAAAAAAAACAATTTCAGTTTCATACATGCTGAGAAAACAAGGTCCCACCGGGACTTGAATCATAGCCCTAAGGGTTCAAAGGCAACCAATCTACCTCTAGGCCACGTGGTGACAATCCTGCAAACTGTTAAGGTTCAATAATAGAAAAAGAAAGAAAAGCAAGTAAGATTTGTAAGAAAAATTTTTTAACGGAGAAAAGTCTAGTTCCCGGTTACAAGGCACTTGCTCTCGTAAGTATTAGTAATTTAAAACTAGTAATTAGTTTCCATCAAAGACTAAACTGAGTTTCACATGAAGCGCTCGTAATGGTGAAAACCCTGAACATAGCTAACAGAAATTTTGAAGAGTCAATGAACGCAAGTGAACAGAAAAAAAAACTCTGTTTCATTTTCAAAATGAAATTATTGATCACATTATTTTGATAAAATTAACTCATTTTCAAAAAACTGGATTAATAATCTTATTTTTTTTCCGCTGGCAAATCTGGAAAATAAATTCAACTTGCGAAACTATAAATCAAGAGTGCAATTTACCTCACTTCCAGCAATAGAATTTAAATTGAACCAAAAAAAGTCCGCCGATACATAAATGTATTCATAAATGCGTTAAAATTTTTCAATGCACATCTGTAAATTATAAGAGTATTTATAAGAGAGTATTTATAGGAGGAGACTTTTTCCTGAAACAAAAACACAAAAAAATCACCACGACTTATATAAGAGTTTTAAATAGTTTCATCGACTCTTTAAAAATCCGACTGCACTTTAGGATAGTTTTGGTGGATTTTCGGGAAAAAAACAGAAGCAAGTAAATTGAAGTTTGAAAATTTGTTTTCATTATTTTGACAAATTTTTCCACTCACGCAATGTTTTTTTTTCTGAAAACTTTATGCAATTCAAAAACAATTTTTGAGCAGCACTTTTTTGATTAAACTAACCCAAAATGAGAAATCTGGATCATTGGTTAAATTTTTATTCCGCTGGGAAATCTGATAATTAAAGTCCATTTTCAAAATTAGAAGTCGAACACGTTTTTCGTGATTTTTACGTTCGATTACAAAGGAAACAAACTGAACTTGAAAAATTTCAGAAGTAAAACTGCAAAAAAGTCAGTTTGAGCCTGAACAAATTTGAAGACTTTTTCCTGAACAAAAACAAAGAAAAAAACATAATCGGGACCTTTGTAAGTCTGAACTACGCTCATCAAATTAGAAAAACTGGCATGGTCTCAGATTCGAACGCTAGATACTTGGCGACTCAGCCCCGCTCTTAACCACTACACTACTGGACCCACCTTTTTCTGAAAATTAGCTTCATTAAAAAAGCTAGCTATAAAATAATTCAAGTGATTGTTAAATTAGTTGTTAAGTAGCAAAAATCTATATTCCATTATGATTACGCTTACTTTTCTCAAGCGTATAAAAAAGTCGAAAAAACTAGATCTACTATATAAGAAAAACAGCCAAAATCTGAATCAGAAGATTTGAATGTTAAATAAGCACCCCAACAAAGATTTACGAAACGGCCACTACGCCAAATACTTGAGCAGACATATTGAACCGGAAAGAAAAACGTTTTTATCAAAAACAAATATGTAACTCGATTTTTTAAAGTCCTCTCACTTAAAACACGCACTTAAACAATTTATTAGCTCATAAGAGGCAATATGAGGACGCAAAGCCGATATAAAATAAGTCGAAACGTTGTGAAGCCGGTTAGGTAAAAAATAAAAATTTTGAAATTTTAACAAATCGGGGTTGGTAAATTTACCACTAACATGAGACAACTTTCGGATATGAAGCAGATTTGAAAAGCAGACATGCTCAAAAATTCTATTGAGTGGCAACGCACAGATTGCAACTTAAATTTTGAGATCCTGCGAACAAACGGTTGCAATACCTCTGCTTATAGCAAGGCTAATCAACAACACCAAATATGAAACCGCTTATCGAAAATATCGAATTCGTACTTGCTAACTTGGCCTATCTATTTAAAGAGACGGCTTCAAGGTCCTCAAAGAACCAAGTTGAATTCCAAAAAGGAACAAATTGTCAGATTGACAGAATCAACTAGACAACTGTGGCAAAACAAAACATTTTGCATGGTTAGAACTGGACGAGATATCGTATTTACAAAGAAGTAATCAACATCTTAAAAACCACTTTATCCTTCCGGAATTAAATGGACCTCGTTAACGATATCCTTCCCTATAATGAATAACCCAACAGTACCTATGTGTACAAATACTAAACCTATCAACGAGTTATTCGCTTTTGTAATATGGGGATTGTTAACGGGATCCAATAAATTACCTAGCCACGTATAGAACTGCACAAAGATAGGGGTCATTTATATGTTTTTACCACACGTCGCCAGAAGATTTCATAGAACAGCGAACAGATAAACAAGGTCAAAACAAAGATCAAACTCAAAGTTTTGAATCCAAAGAAAACAGATCAATTTTAATGTCACCGTCTGAGCTGAACACACAATTTCCGATTAAGTATATCGGCTCAACTTGCCCAGAAATATCGGGCGCGATATTTTTAATTTGATTGCATTTATTTTAAGGTTTGTTTGGATAGCAGTCCATAATCTTACGATATCGAACTGAATCAGGTTGCTTTCTATCATACAGAGACTCATTTTTTTACCTTATAGTTTATTAAGTTCAAACAGTTGCACCCTATATGTCTCGGTAAGTTTAGCCAGTACCTCTAACGCATGAGATGGTAGAACGAGTGGAAGAAGCAACTAAAACAAATTATCACAGTAATTCATATAAATACTGGCAGTTTTCTATTATAATAGTTTTGGTATATTTTCGAGATTTCTTCTTCATTCCACTGCTTCTCTATCTCGCTTCTTTTTCTTTTTCTTCTCCTGAAACATACAAAATTTTACTGACTCACTCAACATACATATAGCGCACAACAAAAGTTATAAAGAACGGACTTTAAAGTTTCAATTCTATCAGTTTTAAGACTTTTAAGTTTCAATTCTATCAGTATCGCCCAACCACATTTTTTAAAAACAAACTCACGCCCATTACATTTCATTTGATTTACGCTGGTGACATTCAATTTTCCAAAAAAGACAAATTTTGAAAATACGGGAAACCGTTGACAGTTGGAAATAAAGCCAGTTCAGTGTACCTTGATTGACTCGTCCAGAGCCGCTTCGAACTGTGGCACGTACTCCTGCTCTTCTTGTTCTGGATCGGGCAACTCTGTCTTTATCTTTTTCGCCTTCTTAGGGGCCTTAGCCTAACACAAAATAGACTGTATTGATACTTTCAATTAATTAGAAAACTGATTATTCAACTATGAATATAACAAAAATTAACACACAGAGGCGAAGCTGATCTTCGCACCACTTGCAATACGTAAAGCCACCAAATCGTGAAAAAAAATTGAAAAAACGCCAAAACAACACCCGAATTTTTTATATCTGTTTGTCTCAAAATGAAACTCATTTTGATGAAAATCTGTAGAGGAACACAAAAACCAGCATCGAACTAGCATAAAAAGTTACCGAGCGGTAACTAAGCCCACAAAACAGGAATAAATGGTCCTAAAAATCCAAACATAGATTTTTTAAAAAAAGAATTGATTAAAACTTTTGATTTTTTTTTGTCAAAAATTCGATGTGCCAATTTGAATCGATTAGAACGCAAAAATAAACAGACATCACGACCAATTAGGACGAAAAGTTGCTCAGAACTAAGTCCAAACAAATTAGGACGAAAAAAAATTATAAAAAGAAAAATGCTCGCAAAAAAAACTGACATCCATTTCATTTTTTCCGCTATTATCAAGAACAAAAACATTAGCTAAACTTGAATTGCAATAGAAAAACATTGCGTGTACTATCAACAAATAAAGCAAACAAACCAAACTTGTTATTTAAAAAAATTCTGAAAATTTTAATACGAGCAAAATATGAATAAAAACAATTCCAAGAAAGTATGTAATCTGATAGCACTCGAGGCCTTCTGAAACCGCGTCTCTTGCTTGGATAATTTATCTTAAAATTTATCTTTCTACAAAAATATTGAGGCTAGAAAGCACTTAGAGCAAATTAAAAATCAATTTACAAAAAAATTGATTAAAAACTACACCAAGAAAACCGCGTATAAACTCATGCCTTTAATTACCTTCACCGAAAACAATATAAAAAGAACAGCAGGCCGATCAAGAAGTATCGACGAAAATATCCGAACAAAGTTTCATTGAAAAGACAAAAAATTCGATAAGAACTCCGAAAAAAAAATTTGACTAAAACTTTTCCATGATGTTTTTCAAAGAAGATAGGAAAAGTAATTTCAAACTTCCAAACATACCTTATTAAAATTGAATTCAATTAGATAAAAAACAACTGAAAACAAATTCAAAAAAAACGTTAGGCAAATAGGCCGACAGAAATAAAGTCGACACTTAATAAGCTGAAAGACAGCCGAAATATTTCCAGTAAAAAAATCATACAAGATTTGCATCTAACCGCTACAATACAAGCCCTATACAGGCAAAACAAGAACGCATATTTGTAAATATACCATTTCTATATTTACCATTTCAAACTTCTTTCTAAATATTTTCTATCCATTTTGTGACAAAAGTTATTTACGGGAAAAAAGATAAGTACCCGGTTGCAATACCCTTGCTTATCGCAAGGGTAATGATGTTATTCAAATAACCATTGTTTTATTTTTTCTCTTAAACTTTTTCCTCAAAACATTTTATCACCTGTGGTTCATCTGAATCTGGCGCGGCAGCTGTTGTGCTGGCCCTGCTTTTCAGTTGCTCCGCCCCCGCTTCTCCCCTGGACACCTTCACCACAATGCCAGGCTCCGATTTGATCTTGCCAGCACTGAGAACAGGAACATACAAATATTTTTCAGTTCCAATTGCAGTTACTTAGTTTTCTCATCTGTCTTATCGTCAAGAAAATTGCCTTATACTCCGCTTTCCAAAATCTACGCTGAAATATTTTAGTTCTGGTTAGAATTGGCGAGATTTATCCAGCTACAACTTTTTTCCACATTGCTATAAACCTTTGTTACAAAGAATTGCACAGCGTTTCTTTTTGTCCCACAGAAATACAATCAGAATCATACTTGTAATCTTCGTAGAACTTCTTCCAAGAGTCAGGAGTGTTTTCCAATATTTTTCCGAACTTTCCAAGCGACCCTTCTTTCACCAACATTTGCTTCCTTGCTGCCTGAAATAATTGTTATGTTATATTTGGGAAACCAACTTACCTTGGTATCATTAGTTCGCAAACAATACGACATAGAACCATTTCATAGAAATGGGTATCGGACAGACTCAGATGGCTACAGCATCAACAAAACTCGGAAAAAAGCATAAGCATGAGGAGATAGTTACCGACGCATTCAAAAATATAAAACATAGATACATTAATCAGATAATTTTGAAAAAGTTTGCAACCCCTTAGCGCACCCGGTTGGAATTTTAATTTTTTTATGACACGGTTGGAGCTTAACTTTTTTTTGAGAATTCAGGCAAAAAAATATAAAAATTTTCATATAGCGTCAGCAATAAGTATTTGAGCAATCGAACTTTGAGCCTGGGAGAATCCTGACAGCCACTTTCACACGGTTGCCAAATCGCTAATTTTGTTTCTGAATGAATAAAGTATATAGATGAATAGATAAATGTAGAATTCTAAATATTGTACTAAACATGACGAGATACGATATAGCTCTAACGTGTTAAGTTTTATTAGTTAATCGGCCAAAAATAATATGTTAAAAAAAACTCTAGCGAGACAAAAAAGCATTGTGAGATACTTGACAGACAAAGTTATATAAATAACCTAAGAGACTACTAAAAAATATGTAAATTTTGGGTATATCGAACCAATTCGCACAAGTTGTGGTTCGAATTCCCAATTGAACCAAGCTTCAGGCAATCAAATTAATCAAGGAAACTAGCCACATCAGTCTAACTTAAAAAACAGTCCTGAACTTCAATTTTAGATTTTCAAGCCTTTTAATTTATGATTGACGCTTTTTTCTATAACTAACTGAATTTGAAAAAAAACCGGATTGATAGTTAAATTTTTGATTTCACTTGGAAATCTGAAAATTAAATTCCAATTTCTAAAACTGAATCCATCACGTTTTTCGTGACTTTTACACTTTTGCTACTAAATCGTAAAGTTTGTCTTCTTTTTAACAAAGGAAATGAACTGAACCTAACAAGAAATCATAAGTCAAACCGCAAAAATGTTCATTTGAGCATGAACAAACTTTAAGACTTTTTCCTGAAAAAAAAACACAAAAAAGCAACAAGACCTATACAAGAGTCTTCACAACACTCATTACTCTTAAACAGATCACGCAAAGTTTTCAAGGGAAGAATTTTGAAAAGATGTTTTGCATATTCGAAATAATTCGCAAAAAAAAACATTTCAAGCAAGCTCAGGAATATTTTTGACAAGGTTAAAATCAATTTAAAAGCTTAAAGCAATTCGGCAAAATTTGATGATTTGGAAGCAGACATTATGGCATCTTCAATCGGTTAGCAAAAACGGTTAAAAATCGTTTTTTTAAAACAGCTATGGTGAAATTTAAACATTCGTTGTTCTGATATCTTGATCTGGTTCGCGAAACTTTCAAGCAATATATCAAGCAATGAAGCAATCATTTTAAAAAAACCACGTTGCTTCTATCATAAATCTAACTTGCTTTTAATTTTTAATAGAACTGAACTTAAATTTGCCTTTGACCGATTAAACTCATGATTGTCAATTTAATTTTTTATCCATTGTATGTCTGGCTTCAAAATATTGAAGTCAATCAAACTATCCGCAAAGCATCAAAAAAATTTCTTGCATGCTTTTCAGATTCAATTTGATTCTTATCGGCTGCGTTCCTACAAAAAAAAGATATTTCAATCGATTGAGTCGTTTGCCAGACTTTTTAGAATTCAGCTATTATAAGATCAAGCTCTTCAAGTTTGACATAGCCGATTGAAACGTTTTTACTCGGGTGCTCAGCGGAGAACCTTGTACGAACAATATATTGGAGGCATGGAAAGGCAGCTTCAATAAATTCGTGTCGACAATGCACTCAGCCCTCCCCAAGCTGATCACACGTTTCAAAGATGAGCAAAAATGCCGAAATTAATGTAGAGATGTCCGATGATAATATCAGAAAACCGAAGCCCAAGTATTCAATGGCCAGTGGGAAACTCGTTCAAAACGCTTAAAAAAAGTAGAATCGAGACCATATACAGAAGTATTTAAAATTTTGCACCTTCAATGTACATATAGCCGAAAACTTTATGCATAGCAAGTTTGTTTTGATCTTTGAAAATTGTTATTTGATGTTTTATCTAGTCTCTTTATTCTAAATCGGCCGAATTATCTTTGTCTGAATTGTCTGAGTTTATTAGGCTGAATTGTCTGCATTTCAAATCGGCTGAATTGTCTGTGGTTGAATCGTCTCTGCGCCGATTTGATATATTGACTTGATCTGCTGCCGAAAAAATCAAGCCGGTTACCAAACGACTCAATTCTCAAAGCTTTAGAGCGCTGAAACTTTGAAACACTTCAATTTGTTTCGATATTTTGTTTCTGTTGAACAAAAGCTAGAGTTTTTCGAAGCATGTTACTAAGTATTTTAATTTTTGAATTATTTCAAGTTGTTCTCATAGTTTAGTTTGATTGCCGAAAAATAGGCTACCAAGAAATTGTCTGGTTTCATCACTTGAATCACTTAACAAAGAAATACAGCTTTTTAAAGCAAGCTCATCACGCGATAAAGCTTCGAAAACTTTTGTTTAAATTTATAGATTGAATCAATCTACAAAATTCAATAGCTCTTACGCAAGCTCATCGAGCGATGAAACACTGAAACAGTTGAAGTTGATTCATATCGTCAATCAGATCGCAAAAAAGCGTATTTTTTTCAGCTTTCTCATCAAGCGATGAAACTATAAAATAATTCAAAATATTTTCGTTGATTTGAACTAATCTTGTCTGAAAAAAATCTTATCTTAAAAAAAACTAGTTTCTTTGAAGTCAAACTTCGTAAAATAAAGTTTTTGAGCAGCCAGATTTGTTGAGGCTAGATTCGCAGCCCATAAAATTTAGGTCATCCCAGTACATGGTTGCTTGTTTGAAATTTTGTAGCTACATGTATAGTTAAAGAAAGATAAATAAACCGGAAAATCTAAGAGTCGAGAGTCGTACAAACCATGTAGAGATACGATATAGCTAAAATGTGTTCAATTTTTTTTCGTTAGTTTAGCAAAAAATACCTTGAAAAAAACGGGGAGAAAGTGACAGACGTATTGAAACATAATCACAGGGGCAAAGCTGAGCTTCGCAAGCACAATCGAGAAAACGACCAAAAATTAGCTGTAAAAAAAGTAAAAATAAGCCTTGAAAACTAAACTTTTTGAAAACTGCTTAAAAAGTTTTGAAAAAGTTACAAAAACTGCCATATCTCGTAGCTTAAAGCCGTTGTTATACTTTAAGGCCAGATTCGCGGTTATATTTTGAGGCAGAGTAGAACAGGGTTATTCATTTAAAATTTCATAGCTAACTAATGTATAGATATATTTAAGCGAGAAAAACTCTAATAATTGTACTAACCATGTCAAATACCAATTAGCTTAAGGCTGCAAAATTTCGCTCATTAAACTTGGTAAAATATTAAGTTGAGAAAACTTAAGCATGATGACACGCGCATTTAAATATGGAAAAGATAGTAGACTAATTCAAACAATACCAACCACAGGCCCTAAACCCCACTGTCTTGGGTAGACGTCCCTCTCCATTACCACCCGCTTGATTTTAGCCACTACGCCATGGTCACAGGTGCTCATGCTAGCTGTGGTCATCAGTGCCACTCCCAATGCTATGGCCTCGCCCTTGGAGGTCATTATGGCCACTAGGTCATTGATCTCGATTCCATCCTCGAAACGCAACAGACCCGGCAATAGGATCTTGGCACCGTAGCAGATTGCGTTCACCTGTGTCGTATAAATTTCAAATCAACAATTTTTTTTAGTTTTATTTTCAATATTAAGGGTATAAAAATCTTTCTAAACATGAAATGTTACGTTCAAACAATGCGGAAAAAATTTCAAATACAAAGATGTAGTTGCATCTCACGTACACGAGTTAAAAACACGTACCGTATGAATATCATTAGAACAAAATCAACCCAAACAACAGATCCTTATACTCGATTTGCATACGCAGAAGATAAAATAATTAATAATAATTAATAAAATAGTTGAAAAACTGAAGGACATACCAAAATCGAGAAATATAAGTCTTGAAGAAAAACAAAAACCTCGGATGATAGGGGATTTACAGGCTCGCCTGTACGAATGTAATAGCAAAAAATGTATAAATAATAGCACTGACAGCACTGTCTTTCATGACGATGCGCTTGTAGCCAGTGAGGAGTGCCTCCAGCGGCTGCACCACCCTCCGCATGTAGCTCTCGTCACCCTCGTTGTCTATACTCCACTGCGCATCCAGCACGTCATGTAGCGTGAACAACTGACCGTTCACCTAGACACGAACCAAACATCAAGTCAGTACACACCACACGAACCAAACATCAAGTCAGACTGATATAACCTAGTTGAAAAGCCTCTCATCGTTCGATATAACGAACTGCAAAAAGCTCGAGCATTAAATAAATTATCGAATGAAATTGACCTATTTTGCATACAGTAAAATCTGCAGGCAAAATTATTTCAATGCAAAAATCTTATTTCAAGGTAGTCGGAAATATCAAAATTTCTCGTATTATTGCTCCTTTGAATTATTATTATTTTGTCTGTCTGAACTTTTTTGATTCTCTAAGAATAAAAGCCAACACAGCCTATATAAGTGTTAGCCTATTTCTTCCCAAGGGTCGCCCCTTTGGTATAATTTTACCAGATCCATTTTTGGCTGGACAACATTCAAAAAATTTTTAAGGCAACTTTGGCGCCAATACAACAAAATTTGAAGGGGGAGCGCGCGCCGAAAAAACGCAATTCTTTGTCAAATATTTTTAAAAAGTGCTCAAAACGTAATTTTTAGCCTGTTTTATCAAAAATTTCCTTAAAAAAGGTCGACAAAATTTAACTTTTTTAACGAAAAACAGCATACCCCTAGAAAATTTTTACGTCGTTTTAAAAATAGTTTTTCTAGATTCAATAAAATTTTGGCAACCGTTAGGCGTGTTAAATACTCAATATTTGACTTGGGATGTCAAATGAGCAATTTCCAACAATTTGTAATTAGTGTAGTTAGTTAATACCAGACTGTCGGCTATTTCCGTTTCTGAGAACGACTCCGAACAAAGTTAATTGGTCAAAATTGCTCATTTTGACGTCCGGCAACTTTTATTCATTTCAACAAGTAAAAACAGTGCCAAGCATTGAACCAACCTATAACCATTGTTTTCAACCGACTAAGATGATCAACATCACCAGTATTGCCAACAAATTCGCATCAACTTTATATAAAGAAGACTGCTCACTTCATTTTGTGACCCGCTGCGCACTCTTCTCAGTTCCTCCATGTGGCCTCCAGTGCCACAAAGGAGACCCAAGTGGACACATAGGGTCCTGATGTAGCTGCCGGCCTCACAGTCGAACCAGATCACTGCCATCTGTGACTTTGGGTTGTACTCCAGCAGTTTGGACTGGTACACTGAGCGCACTCTCAGCTGTCGCTTCACAGCCGCTATCAGAGGGGGTCGTTGGAACAAAGGCCCCTTCAACGTTTCAATTGCCTAAAATGAATAATTGATGTCCTGATACACAAAAAATTAAATGAGAGATTAAATTTAAATGAGGGATTATTTTTCCGCACTATCATCATGTTTAAAAGCTGCAAAAAAGTTGTTCAACGGTTACTTTGATTTCAACATTTTTCTTTAAACATTATCTTTTCAGCGAAGAGCAAACTCATTAAAATTTTACCCTTGTAAGTTTCTTTTGGTCAGAGAGAACGTCATGCAACTTCAGCACCGCCACGTACTCTTTTCCCGCACTCTGCTGACTCTTAACCAGTCTTGTTGCTCTCTGAATGCATACGATCAGACATCCTGTCACCTTTGGATCCAGGGTCCCCGAGTGCCCTGTTTTGTCCACGCGAAGAATGCGCTTTATCCAGGCCACCACCTCGTGGGAAGATGGATTGGCCGGTTTATCCAGGTTGATGAAGCCGCTTCTAATGTACTCTTGCAGTGTGCGTCTGTGAGGCGTACAACCACTAGGCAGTGGAGTGTAGTGCGATGTTCGAACATTCAGTGTGTCATAATTCTACAAACATTCAAACTTTAGCAACGATAAGGTTTTTTCATTATTACTTGACTAAAATGGAAAACTCAGCGGCGAAGACCTAGAATATTACAAAAATTCCATCAGTTATTAGTTCGTCTACCCTTTTCAAGTAGTTTGCTCTTTAACTTGTTTCTATAACAGGCAGTTAACGTTTACTGACTTGATCAACTGATTCTTCTTCTTGTGTAAGCTTTCATTCAAAGAATATTCGATAAAACATTGCAGCAGCTGATTAACAAGTATTAAAATGGGGAGCGGTGGTGAAGTGGTTACGTCTCCACCTCTCAATCGAAAGGTCAGATGTTCGACACTCACCCTGATCCGTGCTCCTTGCTTGAGGGTGAGGCAACATTACCCACCCCAGAAAAATAGCCAAAAAGAACTGCATGTATATCTTAACCAGGGACACAACAACTGTTCTCCGAAAAAAAACTGAATAGTTCATATATTGAATCTTTCACTTGTGGATAAAGCTTTTTAAAAACCAACTATGTCAGTCGATATCTAAGTTCAAAACTTACCTTCAACAAAAGTGGCCAGTCTTTCGTGTTCAGTTTTGCTGGGTCAGTGTCAGGCGGAATCATGAAACTCAGCTCTCTTTGCAGCAACTAAACAAGCTTTTATTCAAACCAACCCTGAATTATACAGAAGCTGCTCTTTTGAGTTCATGGAACTCTTTTTGTAGAAGCCATTTCTACCAGCTATATATAATTCAAATTTTCTGGTAAAAATTTAAGTGAACTAAATTTTACACGGTTCATTGATTTAAAGGTATCCGTTTATGCAAATAAACCAAGAATTCATTCAAGTAATTTTGCGAAACTCCATAGTAAATCTATTTAATGAACAAAATACAAAAATGTAGTTGAGTTAGACATCCACCCAACAGATTATTCTACTGGCTTGCTAGGGAAACTTAAGGCAAATTTTTTGATGTACAATTATTTCTCGAAGCAGTCCAGTCCAACTCGCGTAAACCTCAATACAAATATGGATGCTCGGAAACTGCTGTACGAAGACTTTTGCTAAGTAACTTTAAACTCACAGCAATATTTTCGTCTACTTGTCCACCTTCTTCTGCCAACTTACGCTTCTTCTTCTTGATCTTCTTTGCAGAATTGTCCACATTTTCAGGCTCAACTTCAGAAATAGCCATGTCAAATCTGTCAACGGCGTTTAAAATTTGAATGTTGGCATATTTGAAAAAACAGTTGCAGAAACAAACACTGTTTGAATTTTCTGTTTAGTATGCCTCTTTTCAAATGGCTGAAGACAACAAATTAATCAGCATGTAAAAGTTTTTTATCCCGTCAATAAAATAACTATTACGTTTGCGTGTTCGTAAAAAAAACGAGTTTCGACTTGATAATGATTTCACCTTTTCGATTTGAATACTTGTTTTATTAAGAAAGCGCTACGAGAAGACAAACTAGGAAGGCAGAGTAAAAGAGCCAACCGAACAACATAATTTAAAAATCAAGCAAGAGAAGCGGTAGCTGTGAAAAGAGCACAGAAGGTTCCAGTCACACGTATCAATGCAGATTTAAAAAAATATATTTTTTTCTAGTTTATTTCAACTTTATAACTGAAGTTCAACAAAATGCCTCAAATCACTGAACCCTTCCGGAATCCAAAAAACTATTCAATGTCTAATCAAACTTCTATTACCAACAATATTGACTTGAAACACCTGAAACCTCGTGAAAAACACACTTTATTCAGTAAGCATAGTTCATCTTTATTACATGCTGACACAGTAGATCGCACGGAAGCTTTATTGGAAAAACATGAAAGTCTGAAAACTTTGAGTCTGAAAAACTCGTTCAAAGTATCTTGGAACTTAATTACCCGCACTATTTTAAGGAAATTTGACTTGAACTATAATGAAAATTGCTAAACCATAAAACAATTCCTAAACGCGATCTGATAACTAAGCAAACAAAAAATAAACAAGCGATCCATAGTCTCAAGCTGCTTTTTTGAAAGCAGAAAGTTATCAATGAGCCCTACTCAAACCTTCGTAGTCTAGAATATGAACGTTACTTCTGCGCCAAATTTACAAATTTAGACTCTGAAATTGAACTCTAAAATCTTTTGAAGTAAACAAGGATAGCCAATTGCTGTGCACGTAGCACAAAATATTCTGACCACAATAACTGAAAAAAAAAATAATAATTTGAAAAATCGAAAAATATCCAAAAAAAAATTGTTCAAAATTTGGAGTACAGTTTATTAGGAATTTCAACTGATTTAAACTAAAAATATACGATCAAGTACCGAAAAATACAAATTAATTTTTAAAATGTAGAATTAAGTTTGGAATCCAGCCTTCTAAATCCTATCAGCCTTAATCTATTTTTTTCTGACAAGCTGTATAAATCAATAACCAGTTTTCCTCGTCACCGAAAAAGTGTAAGCACCATATCTTGCGTTAAAGACTTCATCTACAATTAAGGTAAAAGTACAAAATGCTTCTCCACCCCGCCATATAAAATACCTCTACTCCATCTGTGATGTCCAGGTCGTTCAACCACAATTTCCATGCAGAGAAGACTATAGACGTAAAACGCAGCCTTCCGAACCGGCGATGGATGCGCCAAATTGATAAAAATGGACCAGTTCTACTCTAGATGCCAAATGAACCCATCACATGAATCTTTTTTTTCGCGAGCTGCTACTCGAATAACCATGGCCGGCGAAAAAATCATAGGCAGCAAAACACCCCCTTCCCAGACAAATTGAACCCGCCTTCAAACGGTGCAACGCGCCTCTAATGTCAGTTCTGATCAACCCAAACAGAATTTAGACAAAGGCACACAAAAGGCGCTCCAGTCAGACACACGAGCAGTATTATTACATCGAACAGGTTCCTCAACCCTCGAACTTTCAATCACGCACTACTTCCAATTCCCCCGTCTGACCTGGCACTAAACACAAGGACCGTTGCAGCGCCTACTTCAACTTCGGTAAGTTAACAACCCCTGAGTAGTTGTTTTTGGCTCTTTTGGGTCAGCGCAACGTTTATTTGGTGCAAAATTGTTTAGAATGGGCTCATTCCATGTCATCACTTAATTCGCTTATGAAAACTAACTTGGGTCGATTCAGTTGAAGCATGAGTTGGGGATAAGGGGAGCGTTGGTGAAGTATGTACGTCTCTGCTTCTCATCCGCAAGGTCGGAGGTTCGAGACCCACCTTGATCCGTGCCGTACTCGTTGCTTGCAGGTGAGGCAACATAACCCAGCCCAGAATGATAAACAAAAAAATTGCATGTAGTTCTTAAGCAGGGGTACAACAACGTTTCGCCGTGATGAGCTGTACAGCTCGTCTGTCGGTCCTGTACCTCGTGGATAAATGGTCTTAATGAGTTCAAGAGGGGGCTCATAGCCTCGACTACGCTTTAGACGTCCCTTGATGAGGTTTCTATACGGGAAAATATTTTTTTGACAATTTAATATAATGTAGGTTGTTGACGAGAAAAAAAAACACAAAATCTATCTTTACAACCTTCCTGAGAAGTACTTCTTATCAGCTACGAAAAAAAAAAATTCTTTATTCATAAACAAATTAAGCACTGAACAACGATTCAGTCCATTCTAGACAATATTTATCAAAATAAACAAAACGCGGCCCCAAAAAAAAGGCAAGAACAAAAACTCAGGGGTTAACCTGAGCAAATTTGAGGCAAGCTATAGCCCAACTATTCTCGACGAATCACGACCAAAAAAGGCTTAAATTTGATACCAAGCTTGACACCCTATAAGCGTTCGAGCTAGTCAAAAATGGGAGAAAAAAACACTCCAACGCCTGAGTTCTTCCTTTCAATCGGAAAAAATGGCGCCGGTACGATAACGCTTGGTAATTCTCAAAATTTTCAAACCAACAAGAAACTGAACACAGAGGCGAAGCAGAGCTTCGCACCACTTGCGAAAGAAAAATGAATGAATCGCATTACTTGCCAAGGTCCCAAAAAGATGACAAACAACCTCAACTCAAAGCAAGACTGCAACCAACTGCGCATGCTTTAGTACTTTCGTTTTTGCTTTAGTTTCTTTCGATTATTTAGAAGTTTAGAGCTTCTCCGTTCATCCCTTTGTGTCTGGGAGTCTAACAACAAAAAATTAAGAATAAAAACTATTGGGAAAATAAGCCGAATGAGTTGAAGCCGACCGATCTCTGTATCCCAAACTTGATATACTATCATAGTTGGAAAAGAGTCAATGCACTCGAATGAAACAGAAAATACCACGAAATTCTGTTTTAAAAACATCTCAAATTTCGAACATCAAAAAATAGATGTTGTTAAAGTATTTTCAATTTCTAAAACAATTTATGATTGACACTTTTGAAAAAAATTCACCCAAGTGGATGAATAAGTAAACTATATATTTTGCTAGGAAATGTGAAATTAAATTCCACTTTCGAAACCAGAATTCCATCATTATTTATTGGCTTTAAAATTTTTGCGGTGCGAAATTGGAATTTGCCTTCCTTTAATATAGGAAATGAGCTGAGCTTTAAAAGAAATCTATTCAAACCGCGAATCTATTCAAACCTTGGGTGAAAAAAATTCACCCAAGTGGATGAATAAGTAAACTATATATTTTGCTAGGAAATGTGAAATTAAATTCCACTTTCGAAACCAGAATTCCATCATTATTTATTAGCTTTAAAATTTTTGCTGTGCGAAATTGGAATTTGCCTTCCTTTAATATAGGAAATGAGCTGAGCTTTAAAAGAAATCTATTCAAACCGCGAAAAAGTTAATTTAAGCATGAACGAATTTCAAGTCTTTACCTTAAAAAGCAACAAAAAAATCATCACAACCTATATAAGAGCCTGAATTTAGTGTAACTCAACCGTAACATCATAAAACATCATAATCGGAAATTTGAAATAATCTTTGAAAAGCAAATTTTGAAAGGTAGCAAAAAAAAGGGAAAAAACTTTAAGGTTAAGGTATTCGCGCTCCAACAGACGTATGGTGAAAAACGTAGATGATCTCAGAAATTTTCAATCATTTACTCGCAAGGGAAAGAAAACGTACTTTAATATTTTAGAACAGTTGAAAGTATTATTTTCAGTAAACATATTAACATTGCAATATATTGGCATGTCAACAAAAGGACTGCTCTGGAAGGTATTGTTTAAATCTAAACTTTTGAAAAAAAACTTGATAATTTTTGAAATCTCGAAAGTTAAGGGGATTTGAGCAGTCTTATTTGTAGACCAAATTTGCAAACCCTGGAACTAAACTGACGTCAGCCCAGTATAGGACCGATAATTTCAATTTTTGAGATGTACTTTTTCGTAGTTTAGAAAAAATCGCAAAACTCGTCGTTTCTCGTACGCTATTAAGGTTTGACTTTCAAATTTATAGGCCAAAATCTAAACCCTTGTAGAACCCTGAATATGACTCACAACAAGGTTTCCACAATCAAATTGTGAAATGAACACTGAAACGAATAACTTGAAGTTTGCGTTGCAAATAAAAACTGTAAAAAAGAATTCGCGCTCCAACAGATGTTTGGTGGAAATGTATGATGACCTAAGAGATTTGCAATCAATATTTCGTCTGGTCAAAAATTGTGTTGGAATTTTTCAGAAATGTTCAGATCATTTTGAAATTGTCACTTAATTATGAAAAGCGCAGTTGTATGCCCTCGGAAAACTTAAAAATAACTTTTAAAACGTTGTTTTGGATATATGACTATTTCAGCTTAAGGCGGAGAGGAGGTTCGCTCTATTCGCGATACAAAAATGAATGACTATCGCTACTTGCAGATGAAGAGACAAACTGAAAAATTTAAAAAAAAACATTCAAAACGTGTTTTCTCCTCAAAAAATTATAAAAATTGCAAAAATCTTGAAACTGAATTCATGCACATCAACAAATTTTTTCTTTACAAAAATTCGATTTACTTGCGACACAACGCATACATTGCATGCATGACAAACTGACAGAAATGGAGATAAATCAAAATGTTTTTTTTTCATTAGAAATTCTTTTCCAGGAAATATGCCAAGAGTTAAAACAATTGAATTTAAAATAAGCACCGAAACAACATTGACGAAGTCGAGAATTCTTGAGCACGTTGCGTCGTAAAAAAGGTTATTAAAAAAACTCAAAAAAAATTTCATGAGTTCCAGCAAAACGTTTAGAAAAACCTTTTTGCTATTCAAACGGCTCAAAAAGCATCTAAGCCGATATATTATAAGTAGAAACCTTTCAAGCCAAATAAAAAAAATGATTAAATGAAAAAAACGGATAATTTGAAATTAGAATTGTAAAATCTTGACCAACAAAAAATTGGAATAGAACGAGCATTTTAAATGCCGATGCTCAAATATTGTCAAAAATACAGATGGTCATCACAAGTTTTTGCCATCCAGTAAACAAAGTTTTTTACAGGGAACAAAAAGTCTAGTACCCGATTGCAACACAAATAGCGATACCAAAAAAAGGCATTGCAAGCTAGCAGACATAAAAGGAGAGTCAATACTTCCACAGAAAACGGAACAATTTATGACGAAACCGCATCCAAAAAATTTCAAAATGTTGTCGGGAGTTATGTATATTTGCGGAAAACTTGTTTAGAAACGCATTCGAGGGCGTTTAACGAAGATCCAGAGAAAAGCATACAAATTATGATTTCCTCGGACGACCCAAAATTAGGTTCGATAAACAAGAAAAAAACAGATACTGGTCAGATTTGAATCCAGGACATTTGCTGTCTCAGGCGTATTTGTTAGCTCCAGACTAGGTGTACCTGAGACGCTTAGAAATTCGAATTCATAATGAACCAAGATACCAAGTGATTCTTCTGTTAAACAAGTTGTTAACCCAAAAAAAGTCTTTATTCCGATTTAATAAGGCTTGCTTATCGCATGCGTAATAATATCGCCAAATTTATGAAAGAGAAAGCACTGTTGGATCCCCCGTCTTTCTGTACGGAGATCCCACGGTTGCATTAAATTTCTTTGTTCAGACTTTTAAAGAAATAAGGAAAATTTATGCTTGAGGTGGTTTTTTTTCAGTCGTTAAACTTCGGCGATCAATATAATAGTTTTTAACAAAAATTATACCGCATTGAAGAAGGCGGCTTCCTGAATGCAAATGTAAGAAGATATTTCACCTTCGATTATTTTTTTGTAAAATTCTGGGGATTTTAAAATTGCCAAATTTGTCAATGTTGGACTTTATTTATGATGCTGAAAGCGTAACATGGATGATTTATGCGTGGCGAGTTATCCAGCACTACAAAATCGATCCAACTCGAGGCAAGCTAATATGTCGTATTTATTTCATACTACTCAAAATTTCACACTTCTCATATTTTCTTAATTAAAAACTATTCAATACCAATTAAAGGGCAATCAGAACATTCAGCGCTTTGCCCTGATATACTGATTCCAAATTGAATAGAGAAAATAAATTGCCATTTTAATGCTACATACAAATTTACGCACTTAATATTTGATATTTCGCGGTCCAAATTTTATAGTTACTTCGAGACCAGTTAAGAGGCAGTCGGAGCATTTAGGGCTGTGCCCTTATTTACGAGCAGTCCTGTTTTAAGTATAATCGTAACTTATAGTATTTATTGAGTGACCTTGTAATCTCGGCACACATTAATTGCTGTTCTGTGTGCATTCAATGCGCAGTCAACTAAGCCTGGTGGATGGAATATGGGCCCCAAGAAATTAATCTCGGGAAACAAACTTCTAAGTTTGTCGATCTGTTTCGAATGTCCGACGGCATATTGAGGAATGCATCTCCAATTCACATTGACTGCAGCAAAAGTCGGGTCTACTTCAATTTGCAAATGCCGTTTGCAATCTTCAACGGCCGCATTTAAATAATGTTCGTCTGAAGATCCTTGATTGCATTTGTTTATCATAGCTGAAAATCGTGAGATATCCGAGCTTCCATTTGGAACTTCAGGAAACGAAAAGGAGTCAAATGTTACTCCCATGACGTTCGATTCTTGAACAGCAGGAACTAAGTAACCGAATGCTTTCGGGACGTGTTGTACATATTTTGATGGATATTCTAGATTGACTACAGCTACATTAGCATATTTTAAACCTTTTATATAACTCATCACAGTTCTTTCCTCTGTGACTTCTTCTGCAGATTTTTCAAGAAGAGTCGAAAGTTCAGTTGCAGGAATTGAACTTACTACATCATCACAAATAATTTCGTCATGATTGTCCAAAATCAATTTGAACTTCGGCGACATCTGTTCGAAATGTTCAATTTTAACGCATTTTGTTTCAAGTTTAATTTCAAACAGATCTTTGTTCATCAAATCGGTTGCCAAAGTTTTAGGAAGTGTTTCATTTCCTGATTTAAGCGCAAACATTTTGGCTTTCTTTTGTTTCAACTGATCTCCTATGGCACTTATAATTTCAAATTCCGGATGTTTAGTCATTTTTTTCTGTAGCGTCATCATACCAACAACGAAGGACGAGTTGTGACTCAGCGCTTTTACAAAATCAGGAAAGCATGACCTAACACTTAACTCTTTAATGTCGCCCGAATAAACTCCACGAACAACTGCGCTGAAAGCAAGTTCAGCTATTTCGGTTCCAAACTGCTTCACAGCAAACTCGTATATGGTTTCGTCATAATCAGGGTCTTTTTCCAATTCTCTCATCACATTATTATATAGATGTTTCAAGCCGTAATATGCCATTGTGTGTTCAAAGGGTCCCTTCTTCCAAAGCTTCATTTCGATTTTCTGCAACTTATCATTAACGTACAAATATCGGTCGTAAGCTGCAGACGAAGGTATAATTAGATCATCTTCAAGGCCCAACTCTGATATCATGTTCAAAATTAGCCTTGCATTATACGTGTTGCGAATGGATCTGGGTCCCACTTCGTGCAATGCACCTGTAGGACTTCGAAATGATTTCAGCCATCCTCCGACTCGTTTAGCGGAATCAATCATTGTCACTCGGGTATTCGGCCGTAGCTTCTTGATGAAATGCGCACATGATAGGCCCGTAAATCCTGCGCCAAGTATAACGCAGTGTTTTCTGCCACTCATTTCCGGTCAACCTTGCGGCTAACAATTCTACGTCGTATTCGTCAGAAGCACAGTCTCAAACTGCATTCATTGTCGAAGATTCAGTCAACCGGGTCTAACAAAATGTCACTGAAAAGGATCAAAATATATGTTAAAGCTGGGTTTCTTACTCGATTATAACCAGGCGAGTTTGCCCGAGGCATCAAATAGATCAAACATTTTCACTTATGCACCACAGAACGTTCTGACCAATGTTTTTATTGGGGGAAAATCTAACTTTGATTTGAAGAGAAAATGAAGGCAAATAACATTCTTTTAGAAATCAATTTTTTTCAGAAATTAATTTTTTTCAGAAATCAATTTTTTTTTTCAGAAATCAAGGTTTTTTTGTAAAAGTGGGAATTAAAATAAAATACAACTTTCAAGAAATTCGGAAACATTCACATTTTTTTCTAAATTTTTTGAAAAGTTACGACTGAAAGCATTTAATATTAAATCACACTCAAATTTGTTTTGAGGCACTTGAATTTAAGTGAAAAAAAAAACAATGTATGCCATGGTTCATTCTTAGTCCGCGAGTGGTCGTCGAATTTCAGAATTCTTAATTAGATGATTGGACCATTTGAAGCCTTCAGTTTTCATTTATTGCTCAGCAGTTTCAAAGACGCAACACGAAACCTTTATTCTCTCGTGTCACAAGACTTGTGATACTAAGCTGTGATACTGTAAAGAGGAGGATTTGGAACGAAATGAATTGAGAAGGATCAAGCTTACATATTTCGGCTCTTTTTCCTTTCCCCACATGCAATATTATAATTTTCTCCAAGTAAAATTCTGTGTTTATTGTCCGATTCTTATACAAATTGGCACGCTGACTAATTAAGGTATTACAAACGTTATTTTATCGTAATAAAATATTTGGTAAAACCTCTCTTTATACCATAATATTGATGCTTGAAAATTTCTATGTGAGGTAGGGCTGAAAGGAAAAAGAGACCATATTTCCAAACAGTGATTACTCTGTTCACTTAGACCTCCAATAAATTAACATTAACATTTTTACACTCTATTACAATCTTATCAAGAGGATTCTTTTCGACTGCCAGTATAATTCAGCTTTGCATGCAAGTCCAGTTAATTTCGAACGGGTTGGGTAGGTGGGATTGTTGGTTGGTGTGTTCGGTGGTGGGTTTTGATGCTCCTTTCATTTAGAGCCCAAATAACACTCTAATATCCAAATCCCGGCATACCTCCCATTGGTTGTTGGGGGGTCCCGTAACCATAATGAGCAGCGGATTGTGGTTGCAGTGCGCCATAGGCAGCTGCCATAGGCTGTGGGGCCATTAATGGTTGAGGGGCTGGAGCCATAGTCGTGGGTTGGGCGGGGGCCATCCCCCCGTATTGAGCCGCCACACTTGCCATCGTGGGTTGGGGAGTAGCGCCCATGCCCATGTTCGGTTGAGGGTAGTATGGGGCCGGAGGGGGAGGAGCTTGGTTAGCCATTGGTTGGGGTGGGGCTGGCGTTGCATAGTAAGCGCCATATGCATGGTTACTTGAAACAGGAGGGGCTGGTGGTGGATAACTACTAAAATCATTACCGCCACTTGGAGCAGGATGATGCGGTGGTGGCTCCGAAGGTCTTTCACTTCCTCCACCACGCCCATACCCTCCGCGTCCTCGGAAGCCACCACGCCTCGATACTCCGTCGTCTCTTCCAGAGCCACCTCCTCCTCGAGGTCTGCGTCCCCCTCCTCCAGCTCTTTGAGCCCGATCTTCATTAATGAACTGATCTATGAGGAACTTCGCGTAACCTATCTGACCTTCTGTGCCTGTGATGTTACATTTCCGGGAGGCTCCATCGCGATTACCATCTTCAAGTCGTACTTCAGCTTTGCTTCGCTGTCTCACAACATTGATGTTCCTTCCTCCCGTGCCAATAATTGCTCCAGCATGTTCAGAAGTAACTGTTATAGTTTCAGTACGAATAGGTCCATGCACGTCATCGAAAAACATAGGATCGTTTTGACCCTGGCCGTGGTAGCTATCATAACTGTAGTTAATATCATCGCTGAATCCTCGGTAGCCATAATCGGGAGGCGGCGGTGGTGGCATATGGCCTCGGAAAGCACCATCATTCAGATCTGCGTTGTTTATGGGATCGTATTGAATCAACTTCCTCGGTCCCGGTTTAGGAGCACCATATCCTGCCGGGTTATTAGCTCCATGTCTCGATTTTATTTCAGGCAGCTCCAACAAATGTAACACGTACATTACACACGAAACTACTACTTTTATGGATCCGTCGATTTTGAATACGCGTTCCGTACTACCAGGGCAACAATCTTCGTAGATTTTCACATCAGCAGTCATACGCTCCCTGATTTCTCGAATTCTCTCCCCTTTATGTCCAATCAGTCCTCCAATATACGGCGAGTGAATCAACATTCTGCACTCTACAGTAGCGTCTTCTGGGTCGATTCCATTTCTGTCACCTTGTATCAACTGGAAGCAGTCATATAGAGCATCTCCGATGTTTTTAATTTCACCGTGAATCGAGAGAATTCTCTCAACTGACATCGAGTTCGGCAACGCTACTTGCAGATTATACTCTTCCCGCAGGCGTTTCACATTTGAGCCTCCTTTACCGATGATTGCACCAGCATCGCCCGTTTTCATTAGGCACCTCAGTTGGGCTTCTTGACTCGTGTCGAAGTCTATACCTATAAAGTCTCTTGTCTCCGTTTTCACTCGTTTCCGGGAACTTTCGTCCTCGTGTGAGCTTTTACCGGGTCCATGGTTGTCAACGGCTCGTTTAACATTCGAAGAATAATTGTCCGTCATCTCTAACCTGAAAAGATTGAAAGGGCGAATGAACAATTTGTCAGATTTAAAAATTTCATAAAACCTGATTGTTTCAAAACACATGATTGACTTGTCCTGCAATTGATGGTAGGGTGCGAAAGAGGACCCCTTGTTATTATTTTACAGCAAATATTTTGCTTCGACTAGGAAAAAAAATTTTCTCAGGCGTTTTCGGCACAAAAATTGAAAGGCAACGCAACAATTTGTTCGAACCCGTCAAAACATGCCCATGACTGCCCCCAATGTGGCCTAAAGAAAGAAAAGCCGCTACAGGAAATTTCTCAATCAGACTACTTACCTCAGAAAAGGCTCTACAACCTCTATGCCATTTGTGCACTAGACAACTGTATGATTATGCGCACAAACCTTGTTACGAAAATCATGAGAACTTACGCAAAAATTCATGGAGCTCGATTACCAACACCATTACGAAATTCAAAAAAATGCCATTCGAGATAGCAGAAAAAGCTTAATCCTCAAAAAGACTGTTTTGGGGGTATTAAACTGGCAAAAAATAAGCAGACTGCTCATCAAACAGTTTGAAAAAAAAAATGTATCGTTTCCGTACTTCTGTGTCGTCTCAAGCATGGGTGTTTCCTATGTGCCAAATGCGCGAAAAAAACTCTTTGAAATTATTGAAAACGTTTAGCACCCGATGGGAGTACCCTTGCTAATTGCAGGGGGTTAAAAAATTCGAATAATTGGACTTTTATAAAAAAAATTTCAGTTAAATCAAGCTATACTTCACATTGAACGTAATAAATTCGTAGCCAGTTTTTTCGTTCAACAATTTAAGGGTAGAGTTCCAAACACTTATTAAGCACGTTTATTACCCGGTTGCAACACTCTTGCTAATCGCAGGGGGGTCAAAAATTCAAAATATTATAAGACTTTGATAAAGAATTGCAATAAAATTAAGCTATATTTCATTCACATTGAAAGTGATACAAATTCGTAGCCTGTTTTTTCGTTCAGCAGTTTAAGGGTGGAGTTCCAAACAAAATCTTGATTTTTGACATCCTCGCATTCCTGTGCAGCAAATACAGGTCGGCAACCGTTGAAATACCCTCCAGGATAATAGCAAACTTCGAGAGCGGTGGCACAGTAACATGAAGTTGCGGCTCCTTGATTTGCAGTTTTATTGAATGGTCTCAACAGCCATGCTAAAGCGCCGAAACGCCGTGATGCTCCACAGAAGTATAAATTAGTGTATATTAAATTCCCTGGGTGAACACAGACTGAAAGTACTGGAGACTTTATTAAATGTCTTTGGAGAGCACGACAAAACAATATCATCAGTAACTTAGTTCTGTTGTACGTTACATTAGCAGAATATTGCTTATATGTGGGATTAGAATAAACTTCAAAATTCAGCATCTTTGGGCTTCCATTGAGATTATGAAAGCGATGAGATTCGCTCGATACAAAAACAATTCTGCCTAAAGAAGACTTAGCGAGGTTTGGTAGAAGTAGAAGGCTGAGATAACACTGAGACAGGTAATTTATTTCAAAAGTTGACTCAAAGCCATCAGAAGTAGTAGAAAAAGGCTGGTCAAAAACTGCAGCATTAAGAATAAGAATATTTATTTGCAGGTTTCTAATTTTAATTCGATTGACAAGAGAAACGACAGATGCTAAAATGCTCAAATCTGCTGGCATGAACTCTACTTGTAGACTTTTAAACTCCTGTTTCATTTTTTCAACAGCCTCTTTGCCGCGAGCTTCTGATCTACCGGTAACAATAACATGGCAGCCACGAAATGCCAACTCCTTACCTGTTTCGAAACCAATGCCAGAAGTGCCTCCTGTTATAAGAGCGCATTTATTTTTCAAGTCAACTTCATATAAAACTTCAGCAGCACTGCTGTTGCTACTGAAGGTTACTTTTTTACCGGAAGTCGGACCCACTTCAGTTGCACATGCTAATCTAGGATCTGTATATGTTGTCCTTCCGTTGATATGATCAACGAAGTAAACATTTCCTTCACTGTCAAGTTGAGTTTCCCATCCGTAAGGCAAACTGCCATTGATTACCTTCCGTTTACCGGACAATGGATGATCCCATTGAGTAGTTTTGGTGTTGTGATTTGTGTAGTACACCCAACCTTGAGCAGTTGCTCGCTCTTCCCAGCCTGAAGGCAGGTTATCCTCTGAATCTGTATCATCACCAGGTGCCATGTGTTATAACTGAAAAAAAACCAACAAGATCCTTCAATGTCAACTATACTGGACAATCTTGAAAAGTCAGGCTTCCAAGCTTCTCAGAATTTTATAGTTAACGCCAAATTGTTGACATTATCCTTTACGGTCATTGAATCTGAACGAATGCAACAACTGTAGAGACCTGAAGAAACTTACACTTATAACTGAAAACTAAACTTTGAACAATGCAATGACTGGGTTTCATGCGAACCCTTGGATTTTTTTTTTTTTTTTTTTTTTTTTGAAGTTTCTCAAAGTTAAATTCAATAGTTGTAAAAACAGCAAAGGTTAAAAAGCAGTTGGCTTATAGCCCGTTGAGTTAACTTCTAAAGCTTCCAGTAAGCAGGCAGCATTACCGCGTTGCAGTGCAATGCCGAGTCTTGGATTATATTCCTAAATCCTTTGTTATTATTATTATTATTATATTAATTAACCTGAACTGCTCAATTCGACGTCGGATTTTATCTTCTCGATTTTTAGCTTAACAGCTGTAGTTTTTGAATATGTAACATTCGCCCGGAAGATACATATCGACGGATAACAAAACTAAGTCTTAAGACGACTGGCTAGCGTCTAAACAGAGCTTTGCATGTTTTTCACCGTCTCTACCAAGCCAGTACTTTTCGGTGGTCTTTCCTACATCAGGCTGACAAAAACGTTACTGTTCTCCGGCTTCGACCAGAACGCTCAAATTAACTGAATTACATGCAAAGTTAGTGAGCTCATGGCTGGGTCTCAGTATCCCCAGACCACGAGGTCACTCCTAAAAACAGGGCTACTACTTATTATATTACTATTGTTTTTGTTCAGTAGATAAAAATCATCATCTCCATCGAAGATGGATCAACCCTTTCCCCCCTACTTCTAGCTCCTCATTCTTGTCAAAACGAATTAAGATCTTAATTAAATTCAAGTCAGGACATGACGGATGCTAAAATTCAATATAAGTTCATAAAAGTCCACGTCCCGAGACCCTTCCGGATTCTTGAATCCGGTGAATCAAGCTCCTTAATATCCAGTTCACAATAACTCGGAAGGCTGGGTTTTACCCTTCACCGTTGCTCGCAACGGCCTTGCAACTATTGTAACAGCACAATAGTTGCAACTCGGAACGTCCTCTGCTGTTCGGTAGTTCGTTGTTGTTTTTTAGTCTCGATTTCGTACTGTTCGTAATCGCAGATGAAGTTGTTCTGTTCTTTCTGCTATTTTAGCTAAAATGGCCGTCTCTGACGTTTCTCAGAAATATGACGTCATAATTCGAATTTTTAAAAATTTGAATTCCAGAATCTTCTAGCCTTCACCGTTTGGCTAATCGTTCAAATAACGTCCTTATCCGTTCTAAATCGCCAATTCGGAAGGCTTGCTGCTAAAATACCGAATTCTGCAGAGACTGCATTTTGGCCATTCTGGTCGAATGTCACATACTCCCCGGACAGTCCGGTCAATGTCCTCATTGAATCGCGCAATGTTCTAAATGGTTACAGTGTCATCGAACAGAATTTACAAAATGCACGAAATTACTTTTACCTACGTCACATCGACTCACTGCAGAATATAAATGGCATCATACTACATCACTATAGCCTTCAAATTCTTTCATTAATCTGCACATTGAGGATATGACTTAAGATAAAACATATTTTCTGACTTCCAGTGTCAATATCCCGATTGAAACTTTCTCTCCTAGATTTAAAAGGTGTTGGCTTGCAGGACAGTCCTGCCAACCAACAAGCTAAAATTATCCTACTATGCTCCTTCCCTTCGGAAATCTTGCTTGTTTATTGTCCTGAATATTAAAACTAAGAAACTTTGTGGTTAGAAAGAACAATGCAACAACCTCCCTCCTCAAGAAGTTACTCAAGTTTTTCATGTCACCACAAAGTTATCAGTCTTCCTAAGTGATTAAAAACAATCATGCAGGCTGGAATATTTAAATATACTCTTCCCTCAAGCCTTTCTAAATAAATAATAAGTGAGTGTCTCTAAAGCCACTTCAAACCAAAATGCAAATTTATAAATGCAACAATTTCCAAACTCAACTTAAATGTTTCAGTTTTCAATTACAACTTGGTTGCTTGGTTTCTCACTTGAGTTTTTCACACACATAAAACAATTCTGAGTTTTAACTTTTCTTCATTATCCCTTTGTTCTCTTCTTTTTTCGTCGTTTAGAAGTTCTAAAACTTCTAAATTCTTCTAATTTTCTTTCTTGTTGCCTCTTGTTTTCTCGACCATTCATCAATGCTCCATTTCCTCCTCCTGTGACGCTGACTCTGCACTCTCGGTCTCCGTGTCTTGTAGCACGTCATTGACTATCCTGACGCTGTTGGAAGCCGTCCTCCAACACTTCTGCTCTTCCACCCTCTGTTTACAGCAAGGTAGGGGATCCACGTTTGATTCTCTGTTTCTACAGAAGCTGTTGTGGAGACACAACGCCACGTTTCTTTCCAAATCTTCTTTCAGCATCTCTGCCTTCTCATTTCCACTACGCTCGCTCGTCCTGGAAATTCTTTTCACAGCGGTGGTCACTGCATTCCGATGGGTCACGAAAGCTCGCTTGAAAGCTCCTGCCCCAATGTCCAGCTGATATTCACTCTACACTCTGCCATGTTTCGACATATGCTTTTTCGCATACTCGTACAACCATGCAGTCATGTTAGCTCTGAACCATGGCATCAATCGTTTTCTTGCCCATATCTTCTTCACTTCCATCGGAATGTTTAGAACTTTGCACATTGTCTCAAAAAGATCTAAATCTTTTAGACAATCTAATTTCTGCAGTTGTTCTCTCGTCGGTGCCTCCTGTCTATTATTTTCTCTCACATGAGCCTCCAGCCACCGTATCGCCATCATAACTCCCACTATCACTATTGTTATGGGCTGTGATGAATCTGGTAAACCCATGGAGAGCAGCTCTCCAGAGTCCCAGATCAACACCAGATTACTACGCTTGGGATACCACCAGGTCTGCAGCAAGCAGTGGCAAGGAAACTCGTCATGTGTCAACATGATGCTCCTCCAATTACGTTTTCCCGAAGCTTCCAGCAATGGCTCCACTTCCATCATCACTCGGTGGATCTCATCATTCTCATCTACTGCATTGTAATCTGTGACAGTTGATCCTCTCTGTTTCTGTTTTTCAAAGTCACTGAAGTTCCCGCTCACATATCCCATGAACTTCTTTCCTAGTATTGACTCCAACTCCTCTTTGGTTCTTTCTGGAACTGCTGAGAAAATCTTACACAGTAACTCGTAAGACTTTTCAGACATTCTTGCCAACCTCACGCACTTCGGCACTGAAAAGGCTTGATCCACAATCGTTCTTGTACTCTTCACATCCACAGCTACGAAATGTACAGGATACTTGCTCTTGCACATTGGAGCCAACATTGAACCCACCAAATATCGTGCTCCTGATGGTCTACAATAAGTTTCGCTGTGTCTGATGTTCATCTCCGTTTCGATTGCTTCCCTCCATTTTCCTATATACTTCTGCTCAGTCTGCAGAACCCCTGGGAATACTTCTACGCTGATGGCTGTGACCATCTCATGTTTCTGTTCTAGATTCAATAGTGACTCTAAAGAACCAAACATGCTGTAGAATCCTAGTGCTGTCACCAGATTCACATCGGTTCCTCCATGGCAATCTGCTATCAGTTCCGTTTCCGTTTTTGCTTTCATCACTACATTTCCAAACAATACCGTCAACTGCTTGTGCTGTTTCTCCAGGGTTTTCACACAGTCTAGACTTCCACAAACGTGACCCTCTAGTCCACAGACTTCCGCCAGACAGCTACCAGGTTTGACCCAGTCTTCTGGTCCCCAGCCAGGCAACTCCACTCCATCTTCTCCGTTGCTCTTAGAGGCTGTTGTCATCACATTATATATGATGTTGAGGTCACGCAGGTTACAGTCCACATTCAGTTCCCTCTGTATGTCCTGTGTCGCCCGTAATATTGAGTCAGCGTTGGGACTAGGACACCACGATGGCTTCATCAATTCCCACACTGCCATCAAGCTCGTTCTCAGTAATTCATCTGAGAATCCCAACCCAAATTCCACTCTCTTGTCGGATTTTGGTACTGAAGGTGCAGTCACCTCTTCTTCCAAGACCAATCCCAATTTGGCCTGTGGATTGTTAATGCTCTTAGTCGTCACAATTCTGGACGTCCAGAATCTTAGTAACACCGCCTGCTCATAATCAAAGAAGCAATCACGAATGTCTTCACTCAGGAAAGGATTGTATGCTATCCCTATAATCCCGGACACATAGCTATATGACTTCTTCTTGATCGGTCCACAGTATTCACTGGATTTTGGCAATGCTCCCATAGACTCTTTAGTGAGCCTCAACTCCTTGTTTGAGAATCTCCTGATCTCGTCTATCTTTTTCATGGGTTCCAATTCTTCAGGTTCTTTCATGTTCACCCTCATCGGTTTACTTTGCTGCATATCCAGCATTGCTAGCAAGAACATGGCTTTCGTTCGCTCATCGCCTTCCTTCAACATTTTAACACAAGTGCTTAATGCAGGTACTGAGATCTGCTCTATCAGGAATCGAATGAAACAGAGAGCGTCTCTCCGCTTTGCACACGCTACTGCTGCTCCCTCCTGGACTATCAGATCCCTCAGATTCGTCATAAGGAAAACTTTTTCCTCCTTTGATCTCTTCCTTTCTTCTGAATCATATTCTTCGCGAGTCAGTCCCATCATGCACCAGGTTGAAATTGTCCATACTGTTCTTTCCAAGTTTGATTTGATTTCGATTTCAAGTTTTGACTCAAGTGAGCAATTAAATGATCAATCAGGATCTAGAAAAGAAATCACGAATGTCACACCTGTCAACTTCACCTTAACATACATCGTTAAAATTTGCTTAAAGACAGTTCAGATAAAAAGATATTTATCCTAAAATTTATTAAAATCAATTGGTTTCTAAAATTTTGGAATTCGACCTAAGATTGGACAGTCCAAACTTTGGA